AAACCCTAACCCTAAATCCTAAATTTCCAAGCCCTGAATTTCCAAGCCCCAAATTTCTTCCTAAGCCCTAAACTCTACATTCCAAAGCCCTAAACTTCAAACTCTAAACCGAAGGGCAGGCGTCTAACGCATGCCGCTTCCATAAGCCGACGCCTGTGGTCGCATGACGTTGCACAACCCCTCCCCCAGTATGCTGTAGTCGCCTGAGACCTATAATAAAATCATTTTCAATAATTCTATAATGAAATAGAGGCTAAGACTAATTCCTAAGGAGACTACAGTACGTGGGAGTTTGACGGAAAACCCTGAACACAGAAAATCCACAATGGCCCGAATGAGGATGCCGATAATGTCCGTATGATTCGCGATCCCAGTCCCTAAGAGAAACCTGCTTGAGCGAAATTCATGTGGGTCCAAATCACAATCCGACTTAGCATGAACAATCACAGGCTCCAGGTACCGGCAGCCTCGCTCTGAATCCAGGTCTTCATACCGAAGCTTCCGGGGAATAAGAGGTCCAAAGAGGAGTACCTCAAAATTGGGGATTTCATACTTAAGGAACTTCTCATTGGGTGGGGTTAAGCCAACTACTGCCCGCTTACTATCAACAGCTTGTCAGGGTCCCAGCCGCGCCGCTCCATTTTCAGCCAGCAACCAGCTGAAAAGGTCAGGCGCTGATCTCCTGCAGCACCAAGCGTGCACAATATTTCTACTCACCCCGGCCGCGGCGGGTATTCCTGCTGTGACATTTCGGTGATTGTAGACCACTTGAGCTACAGTCAACAGATCCCCGAAATCTGTGAGGCAAATATCCATAGGCGAAATAACTCCAGCCGAGCTCCTCGAGTGCTACCCGCATCACTTCAATGTTTCCTGTGCCTGGGGAGCAAAGCACAACAAGCAACATGACGACCAAAGTGAACGCAAAGCAGCTGCACAGAATGCTGGACTATCCAAGTTCTTTACTGGGCTGCTGGTAAGGCACCTCGATTAAGTGACTATGACACAGAAACCTTATTACTGACTATATACCCAAACAACAACCCAGCACCAAAACTAAACACTAGATTATCTAAATCAAGTTCCCTGATGCATGCTTGAGCTTTGCAAAAGTGCAACGAGATGCAGGCGGAGGTGTAGTCGACGCGCCACTTCATCATTCTAATCAGAACCTCACGCCAAGAGGTTGATACCCGTATGTGTGTGTATATATATATAT